GCGTGGCGCGACGCCGTGGGCCAGGTTAAGCTGGAGGTGCAGAGGGCGGTACGGGCGAGGGGGTTGGGATCGTTGGATATGTGATGTGTGATGCTGATGCTGATGCTGATGCTGATGCCGATGCTGTAGATGATGACTAAGAGGATCGCGAGTATTATGGATGTTAAGGATACCACAGCACCAGCAGCTGGGTAGCACAGAATGATTCTTTCAAGTGGAATAATAAAATAATTCAAAAAAAAAAAAAAAAAAAAAAAAAAAGGGAAAGAAAAAATAATCATCAACTCAATCCATAAAGATACCTCAACCTTCCAGGCGTGCTTCTACTTGTTCGACGATTAATCTCGGTTCTTACACTGTATCGAGAAAAGGGGTGGATTTAAGGGGTGAGTTTAAGGGGTGGTATCTCTTCTTACGTCTTGTCCGGCAGCGCTCAATGATCCATTCACCACGTCTTATACACCTATATTTTACACCTTTGATATTAAACCGCCTTGGGATCCAAGTGACCTTCTAGAGCCCTATTTTCGCGCATTGGGCTCGTCCTAAAAACTCCATTCATCCTCAAGATTATATACGGATTTCAGATTTCCGAAACTCAACTTCCTTTACGTCAACCCTACACCCACCTTACTTTTTCAACCACTATGATATCTTCATGAAATCAGCACATTGGCACATTATATATGTGTAAGAAAGCAACCGTAGTCACTTATTAAATTATCTAGTACTGCCTGGAAATCCGACACTACTCCTGAAGACCACCCAATTGCCCAGTCAACCACTAGCAGTCCCCATCAATCCCGCCAGTCTACTTCCGCTCCAACCAAAGGACGGTGCTGATCTAGGGGTGTCGGGTGCTGTGTCAGGCACGGGACGAATTCTTGCCAGGCACGAGTTTCAGGCGGTAACGAAACCTTAGGTTTATACAACGATATATTTCCACCTAATTTGCCAGCCAAGTTGTCGACTGTAGCATTGACTTAGAACAGGCCAACTCCGACAGCCACAGACAGAGCGACCACAAGGACGCCCATGCCGACGGCCTGCAGGACAGCCTCGTCCTTCTTGTCGTCGTCGCCGTTGCCGCCGTTCCCATCGCTATCATGCTTCCCGTCGCTGCCATGCGGGGTCTCGGGCAGGGGCGGGGGCCCATCGGCGGGTTTCTTCTCCTCCTCGGCCGTGGCATTGTACACCGAGAGGGCGAGATTCCCGCCGCAGGCCGTCGTATTGGACCCGGCGCACGGCGCGTCGCAGACCGAGTCCTTCAGATTGAAGCTGCGGCGGCCGACGGCGCTGCCGCAGTAGCAGTCCCTCGAGTGCTCGAGGGCCGCCACCGGCCAACCCGTACTACTACCGCCGCCCTTGACGTTGCCCTTGCCGCCGGGCTTCTTGGCCGACGAGCAGAACTTGATGCACCGGCCCACCGTCATGGCCGTGGCCAGCGTCTGCGCGGGCCCGTCGAGCGCGTGCGAGGCGCCCGGGAACTCCGACGTGTCCGTCCAGCACCCCACGTACTTGTACACGGGGTCGTCGTCCACGATGCGCAGCGTCGTGGCGTTGGGCGTGCTGGCGCCGGCGCCGGCGGGCTCGTCCGTGACCGGGATGATGACCGTGCTGTTGGGGAGCGGCGACGGCATCACCGGGAACTTCTTGGTTGTGGTCGTGTCTATGCTGGTGCTGGTGGAGATTACGGTTACCTGCGATGGGACGGGAGCGGGCACGAGGGCCGAGGTGTAGGGGGTGAGTGAGAGGGCAGCCATGGTAATGAGGCTAACTGAAGTGCTGAGTGGTGCCATTGTGCTTCTACGCTCGGAGATTAGCATGGTGACCGTGGCAGATAGTTGGAAGTGAAGAGAACTTGTCAACTAGAGATGGTTGGGAGCCGTAGAACAATGCACAGAACTGTGGTGCTCGCCCTGGTTGTTAAAATCTGACTGACCTTTGAGTGATGTATGTTTGACTAAAATCTTCGTATGAATGTCGATGGTAGAATGATTATTTCGAGCGAGATGCTTGTGAATGCTTATTGTAACGTGATGATTCTGTGGAATACTAACGTTGTCTGGTTGATGAAAGGAAGAAGAGAGATTCCCGCTCGAGGTCGAGGGGAAAAGTAGACACACCCTCCCCAACCACAAGAGCAGGAGCGACGTGGGAATAGGGCAATAGCTATGAGGTCAATATGGATAGCAGGAAATAAGCACCACGGAAACCTCAGCCATTGCAGTCTATGACGATCGACTACATTGGTAGAGAAGTTTCAACGAGTATGAAGCATTTGAACGCAGTAACACCACTTCTCTGCTTCAGATGTCCTTCCTCCCCCAAAGATTCGACGTCTTTAACCAGCACGCATCGGGTTGGAACATGAAGGTGCTCATCCTCGGGATGGGGTAAATTCCTAGATGACCTCATACACATACGTTCATGTCTGGCAACCGCGGCTTCACCTGCAATGCGTAGTGCAAGAGAAGAAAATGATGACGGCTGGGGCTCGAACCTTCCAGGAGGACTACTACGATAACCACCTAAATTATGCCATGTACCTGGCAACGTGCTCTAGTGAAGCTGCCACGGCTATCTCAACCCCTTTGTCACTCCCTTCATATCATCCATCATCCATCAGCCAGGAGGGTAGGAGAGGTCTTGTTACTGTATCCCGGTCATACCCGTTGCAGGGCCCAGATCCATTATCCACCAAGAAATATACGAACGCGACATGAGTATAGTCAGGGCCGGTGTTTTGGCCGTCACTCCGTCATTTCGCGGTTTATTGCCGGCCTCTGTGTCTCGAATATCCGAGGCATTTTGGATTAATCTCTTCCTAGGAGGGTTTGGTTGATTCGGCGGTGATATTTCAGTCTTGAACGCAAGTCGAAAATGTACCATAAGTAAGGGTCTTAAAGCAGAAAAACGATTGACAAACCTGCAAGTTGTTTGCCTGGAGCACCTATCTAAGGCGCCAGCCTGGATGTCTTTATTCAAGCGCTGATAAATTGAACATCACAACTCAGTACCTACCTAGGTAAGCATCTTAGGTAAAGTCCCTGTATAACCGTTATTACATTTGCCTATCTTGGCCGCCCGATGATCGTCCACTTTTGCCCCTTTCCCCGGAGCAAATGCTGTCTACCTGTAGGCGGAAGTAACTACAAGTTTAATTGGCACAAGGATCGTGTCCGATTTCCTTGGCCACATTGCGGAGGGCCACCGAAAATATTAGCTTCGCTACCTAGGTAGATAGCGCATGAGTGTCGTAGATGGCACGGAGACGGCGAGACTGTGTTCTGTCAAGGCACTCAGGAAGACCAAGCCGTTCAGCATCAGCATAAACCATATCAGTAAGTGCAACCTTCTGACATCAAACGGGATGACTCTTCTAACCGGTTCCGACGCAGCGCCGAGCCGAAGGGAGGGGGCACCACCATCTAGGTAGCTCGTCTAGTGGTTCATCGCGCATTATCTCTTAGGTAAGTTAGGTTAACTAGATCACTAAATCAACACAAGAAACATCGTCGTATCGTCGGTGTAACTGAATGGACCGCCGGGATAACTGGTTCCTGTTAATATCCGAGCGGGACCCGTACGTACATTAAATCCGGCCCCACACGCGCCGGCACGGAATGTTGCTGTCTAACCCCCTTTCGAATCCCGAATCCCATGTATAAGAAATGCGAAGCTCCCGTCCCGTTACGATTCGCCCGGGAGGAACGCCGTAAGGAACCCTCGCCTCGTGCTTTACTCAAGGACTGCTTATCGCTTAGTTCAAATACCGAAATAATGGCCAAGAAGATTATCGTCGTGGTCGGTGCCACCGGCAACCAGGGCAGCTCCGTCGCCAACACGTTCCTGGGGCTGCCGGAATGGCACGTCCGCGCGCTGACGCGAAACCCGTCTTCGGACGCCGCCAAGTCGCTCGCCGCGAAGGGCGCGGAAGTAGTCCAGGGCGACCTGGCCGACCCGTCGTCCCTGGCAAAACCCTTCGAGAACGCCAACGCCATTTTCCTCAACACCGACTTCTGGGAAGTGTAAGTTTTACCTGATGGTATTCTTATACTACCTAGGTTACCGTGCAGAAAGAGCAACCACCCGCGCTGATTTCATAAACCGACGTGATCATAGATATCGGCCCGCCAAAGCAGCCCTAGACGCCGAGGGCAAGGCCCCCGAGGCAGCCGGCATCCAAGCCTACACGCGCGAGACCGCCAACGGCAAGAACGCCGTGGACGTCGCGGCCACGGTCCCGACCCTCGAGCGCTTCGTGTACTCGGCGCTGGGCTCGGTGTCCAGGGCGTCCCGGGGCAAGTACACGCGCTCGCGGCACCCGGAGGCCAAGGCGACGATCGTCGCGCACATCGAGGCGCACCCGGTCCTCGCCAAGAAGGCGTCCCTGATCTACCTGGGCGCCTACGTCACCAACGCCATGCTGTCGCCGCGCCGCGACCCGGGCACGGGCAAGTACGCCGTCCACATGGCGCTTAGGGAGGACTTCAGGATGCCGATTATCAACCCGAGGGAGTCGATAGGTCCGTTCGTGCGCGCGCTGGTCGAGGACGAGGAGCCCGGGACGAAGCTGCTCGCGTACGACAGCTTCCTCACGCTGAGGGAGGCGGTGGACGCGTGGTCGAAGGCGAGCGGGAAGGAGGCGTCCTATATTACCGTCACCACTAAGGATCTCCATGACAAGATGGGTCTGGACTGGGAGCTCCTGGACGCGCTCGACGCTGTGAATGAGTTTGAGTACTATGACGGTTACGGTCTGATCGAGCCGTACCAGTTGAAGAATAAGGTCCAGACGAAGTCGTTCGAGGAGTGGCTTGGAGAGAAGGACTGGGAGAAGGAGCTATCTACCTAGCTAGGTCTCAGTCACTATTCCGGTTTTACTACTAGTTATTTTCCTTTTGTATGTTTCAACTTGCCCTTGACTTGACTGGCGTGGATTATTTAGTCTGCAACAGTGGATGTACGTGGAACCCGATTCCTGCGGCTTTGTCAAGAGTCCTATAACTCAGCTGGTTAGAGTACCGTGCTTACAATGTCAAAGTGCGAGAGTCGAGAGTTCGAGCCTCTCTGGGACTGATTTCTTTCTAGTCTTTGCGTAGTAAAAGTTTCACCTAGGTATACTCCTCCATTGGTAGACTCGCCCAGTGAACATCGAATCACGACCGCAATGGTGAGACTTGAAATAAAAACAGGGTTGATTACAAATGCTAGATAGACTCAATATATACCATATACCTATACACTATAGGACTTTTCTCAGACTGATAAATTATCACTTAGAGAGGTACTTACCTTGCATTGATTTACCCCTTATCGACTACCTAGTATATGATGATATTCGACCTACACTGAGACACCCCGACGGCATCACTATGAAACCTACGAGATTAAGTAATCAGCGGTATTAGATGAAGCGGTGTAGTGGTTCGACATTGCACTCGACAACTTCTAAGAGGTATGATCACGCTATTCAACTTCACAACCAAAAACTCAAAATGGCTAGCATGCATTGCTGACTCAGCACTATCGAAGCCGTCGTGGTCCGGTGCCATGTCTTGGCAGAGCCCCCCATTCGGTTGTTCGTACCAGCTCTTCGGGACCACAGGGAATAGGAAATGTGATGGATCCAGAGGCTGCACATCAACCGCAATTCGCCTAGGAAATGCGAAGTAAGCTTATCCCCAAGTAGGCTATCTCGACGAATACGGCGTCCCTCATTAGATGTTCCACTCTTGGTACGGCTGAAATTGGCAGGGGGGCCTTGGAAATCCACTGGTCGGCCGAAGATACGCACAAGGATGGAGGTATGTATCGGTGATCGTTGAATAAATATCAGGCTTCTCCCCGGCTTTGAGATGAAATGGTGGGGTGATATACCTTACATACTTGATAAACCATTATCAGTATCACCATGTCTCCCATCGCGCAGTTCGCCATTGCCAATCTGAAGGAGGCGGGCCTCGAAGATGTCTTATACATCCCCGGCCAGCAGGCGTATGATACACGAGAAAGCTCATACTGGTCATTGACCCCCAGGCTTGGTCCTTGGGCTATCGTGCAACCCCGTAACACGGAAGAGGTTTCCAAGGCAGTCAGGGCTCTGGTTAAAACTGACGGTTGCAAGTTTGCCGTGCGAAGGTGAGTGTCAGGTCATGAGATAGGATTTTTGGTCTTTTGGTGGTGGTCTATGTCTCCCGTCTATTCCCTGAGACAAAAAAAAAAAAAATTGACAGCTATGTTGAATAGCGGCGGTCACATGTCATGGAATGGAGCCGGTAACAACATCGAGGAGGGCGTGACTATCGATCTCGGTCTCATGGCAAAAACGACATACAACGCCGAGACGAAACTTGCATCGCTGCAGCCAGGCGGTAGGTGGACAAATGTCTATGCAGATGTTGAAAAACGTGAGTGGCAACCCCCTAATTTCGTCGGTATCGAAAATATATACTAATGGACATGCAGATGGAGTTATGGTAGCTGGTGGCCGCGAGGGACTGGTTGGCGTTGGCGGTCTCTTGACTGGTGGCGGCCTGACCTTCTTTACTTGTCGCGACGGTTGGGGATGTGGTAAGTGACGAGGAGTCCAGAACTGGCGGACCTAGGATCTGGGCGCATAGCTGGATATTTAAAACGCGCAGGATGCTAATTACTTTCCGACGGCTAGATCAGGTCGTCAACTGTGAAGTCGTCTTAGCCGATGGCAGCATAGTCGAAGCGAACGACACGACGAATCCGGACTTGTTCCGCGTTTTAAAGGGTGGCCACAACAACTTCGGCATAGTTACTCGGTTTGACATGAGGACCTTCGAAGCAAAGAACATATGGGATGGAAACATCGTCCACTCCAAGGCCGCCACCAATAAGGTCATCGAGGCGTACGTGGACTTCCAAACAAACCTCGAGAATAACCCGGATAGTCATGTCCTTGCGATGTGGGTTTACATGCCTAAAGCACCGGAGCATTTCATAAACATGGTTTTGACCAACCTCGATGGCGTCGAGAATTCAAAGTCTTTTCAAAAGTTTCTGGCTGTCCCGGGCCAGCAGAACGTCAAGTCGAAGACCATAGCTTCGAAAGTAGCAGAATTCTTGGTTCCCTCGGGGAAATTGTAAGTCGGATGGCCTCAATCCTATTGGAGGGTTCCTGGCTAACATGTCGGATTAGCGATTCATGGTTGACACTTACCTTCAAGCTCGACGGGCGGGTCCTCCAAAAAGCAGCCGCCGTATTCGAGGCTCTGATGGTAGAACTACAACAATCAATCCCCGATAGCAATTTCAGCATATCGATGGTCTTCCAGCCTTTACTTTCATCATGGACGCAGCACTCAGCTGCCAAGGGCGGTAACATGCTGGGACTTGAACGCATACCAGGAAACTGCGTCGTCCTCGTCACAGCGGTCGAAGTTGAGACATTTGAGTTGTCAACCAAGGTCAGCACCCCGGCGTTGAAAGCCATGTTTAACGAGATCGAGGCGTATGCCACTTCGCTCGAGAAGAATGTCGACTTCCTCTACTTGAACTACTGCGGCGACTCTCAAGATCCCCTGCCGACGTACGGCGAGGAGAGTCTGAAGAAGATGAGAGAGGCGTCGGCCAAGTATGATCCCAACGGGGTCTTTCAAGAGCGGGTTCCTGGTGGATTTAAGATCTCTAAAGTGAAATGAGGCATTGATGTATTTACGGTGCAAGGTCAACACTTAAATTTATTGAAAGCTTAGTTTAAAGCAACGTAAATGAATGTACATAGGTAGACAAATGAAGAAAATATTTCCTGGTGGTAATGGTAAGACGAAATGGGTGGTCTCCTCTTGACCCCCACCCCTGATATCGATAAGTTTCATTGTGGAAGATGACGATTCCCCGTGTCCAGCCCTACCTACAAAGTAACCTTATGTACCTAGGTTAAGGTACACAGGTACATGTGCAACTCCCCACCATTGAAGACCCTGTCATTGGTAAGACATAAGCGTGAAAGAAACGTCAATGTCAAGTTAGATGTTGGATATTAGTAACTACCTAGGGTATTTAAACATTCATCGAATTCATATAAGCGGTGCTTAATAGCTTCTTGAGCGAATTTTCTCAGTTATCACATACACACCGATTTACACTTATACTCTTGCCACAAGCGGTATCTCACAAATAATCAATGCTCCATGCGGTCCCCGATGCCCTCCTCCCGAAGCCTTCGCCCGATTTCGTCCCTCTCGTCGATTTCCTCCTTGAGCCGCCGTTCCACCTCGTCCCTGATGGGGCCGAGATCCGGCGGAATTACCGAGAACTGGACGCTGGGCGCCGTCTCGACGAATCGCAGCTGCTCGGTGACGTGTTCTATGATATCGTCCAGCTTCTTCTTCGTGTTCTTGTTCTGACGCGGCTCGCCTAATATTTCTTGCAGCGTAGGTAAGAGCGAGGTTTGCCTAAAACGATCGCGCCAAGGGGTATGGATGGGTAGTTCGGTCGGCAGCTTCTTTTGCTGGCCAATGGCAATGCCCGTCTCGTACGCCCACGCGCGGGCCACGTTCCGCGGCGTGTAGCCGCCTCCGCCGAACAGGAGCAGAGGGATGTGGAGACTCTTGACGTATTCTACGCATGACGCGTGTCCTTGGACGAGTAGGTTGAATTTACCTAACCTATCTCCAGCAAGCGAGTCGGCACCGCACTGCAGAGCAATCGCGCCGGGCCGGAACTTCTCCACGCACCTGCTAATTACGCTCTTGAAAAGCCACTCATACTGCTCGTCTGTGATACCATCATTTAAGGGTACGTTTATCGCATGGTGTGCTCCCGGATTGTGTTCGCTCCTGGGACCATTGTCCTCTAACGCGCCGGTGCCGGGGAAGAAGACCTGAGGATCGTACTTGTGGAAAGAAACTGTCATGACACGGTCGGTCGAGAAGAAAGCCTCTTCTACGCCGTCGCCGTGGTGTACGTCGATGTCAATATATAGGACTCGGGGGTGGACGCGTAACAGTTGTAGTATACCAAGGACGATATCGTTGATATAGCAAAACCCTGAAGCTTCCGACTTCTTGGCGTGATGAAGCCCGCCGCCCCAAGATATTGCGATGTCAGACTGATTTGCACAGAGCTTCCTCGCGGCGTCCAGGGAGCCACCTGCTGACATTGAACAATAGTCGTACAATCCCTCGAAAAGTGGGCAGTCACTACCTCCCAGATTGAACTTGAGATCCGGACTAGAGTTGTCAACGTCTAACGGAAGCGGCTGTGGCGGAACTGAAGCGAGAAAGTCGACGTAGTCAGAATTATGAAACGAGGTCAACTCCTCATATGTGGCGGCGCGCGCTGTGTAGTTATCCATTGCGAAGTTCATCCCGTAAGAGGCGACCAGGCTCTTGGTAAGTGTTAGACGCCAGGGTTTCATCGGGTGTGTTTGACCAAAGTGATGTCGCTCCATATCGGGGTTGTAGTGAAATGACACCGTGTAGCCTTTCGGCTTTTCGATGTTTATTTCACGGGCATAGCGCTTGATCTTGTTAAGATAGGCGGCATTTTCCATATCACTTGGCCGATCTAAGGGCTTGTTGAACTTCTGCACTACCGGCTCGTCGACATCAACCTTGTGAGGGAGGTAGTTGGGTTTTGGTATCCGCAACGAATAATGATTCGCCGGGTCCACCTCCATCTTGAATTCCAAGGGATGAGGATGCGACCAATGCGCGGGAAAATGTTAGGTGAGAGTATGTGTACTTGTAAGCCTGCGCGCACCGTTGATAATACAGGCGCGAGATCTACGTATGTAGATAGTGTTCTGGATCCGATGTTAGACCTTTGATGTTCGACCTTCGAGACCAGGATTCGGGTGGATTATTCGATGTCTGAGCAAGGCTCTGAATCCTTGGTAGGGGTTCAGATATGGCCGGTTGTTATAGAGAATCACACTATATGAAAGGGAAAGATGTGAAAGGACCAACAATGCACTTGATGGCCTATTCTCTCTTGAATAATCGGGAAATCGTCGTCAATTTTGAGAAATGTCGAAGATGAAAATGAAAATGGATGGCAACTTTCGCGACTGGCACCCGCAGTAGGGCGCCGGCTACTTCCAC